CTGTTTTCCTGTCCCCGTTAGTGTCTACCCTGCACTCCCCACCCAAGGCCCCTCTGGCCATTTCAGTAAGCCAGGGCTTAAGCTATTTCTGAAATCCCCTTCTCTCCACTCTGGTGTCACGTTGCAGTGGATGATAGGGGGACGGTGGGAGGGGATGAATTAGATGGCTGGGTCAGTCCTGCCAAGAGATAGGAGGAGGGACTGATTGGCTTTAGGAGGCTGCCCTCCCTGTCCCTAGTCAGCCTAGGTACAGCGGGCAATGGTTGGCATCTCCCCATTTTTCAGTTGAGGACACCAAGGCACAGGGCAGAGGAGAAGCCAGGGTCCTGAGCACTTGTGGAATCATCTGTCCTGGGAGCCGGTCTGCCTTCTCTGGGCCATCCCTCCTCCCGATTCCTAAAACATTAAGGCTTAGTCTCTCTTAATATATGCCGTTCTCAGCAGCACAGGTGTGTGTGTGTGTGTGTGTGTGTGTGTGTGTATGTGAGAGAGATAGTCTTTAGAGTCAGACATGCTGGCATCTGAACCCAGCTGTGTGGCTTTGGGTATGTTGCTTAAACTCTCTGAGCTCCAACATCCCAATTTGTAAAGTGAGGACTGAATGCCATCATCTCCTCCTGGGATGGCTGGGGAGGCGGGAAGCCCATGTGCATGTGGAAGTACTTTGCCAACAGTTCAGCTCCTAAGCAGACACTCAGCTTGGCACCAGGGGTAGGTCACAGCTCCTTGCCAAGGTGTCCCCCATGCCCTGTGCTGGCCCAACATCTGCACTAGAGGCTGGAGCTAGGAGGATTGAGCCAGCAAACCTTTCTCTCTGTAGATGTTCAAGAACCACCTAAAATTATTAAGGGGTGTGTGTGTGTGTGTGTGTGTGTGTGTGTGTGATGGTCAATAGGGTCACTGAGTTCAGCCTTAGTGGGGGTGGGTTCCTGGTGCCCACACCCCGTGGGAGGCAGGGTAAGGGGAGTGAAAGATGGCCAAGACACATTCCTGAAGAATGAAAAGGCCTGCTGTGTGGAGACAGAGACAGGTGGGGTGGAGGGTGGGCAGGGAAAGTTGGGAAAGTATCTGGAGGAGGGGGGTGGAGAAGTGTGGGGTACCTGCTGTGTCCCAGTCCTGTGCCCCCTCCCAGGTGTTCCAGGTGCACTCAGGGCTGGGAGCTGGGGTGGCTGAGTAAGGAGGCCTTGGCGAGGAAGCTCAGAGAGAGAAGAGCCACCCCTGCATCTCGCTCCCACGGGAGGCCTCAGGGGCAGGAGCAGGAGAGGGTCCCCGCCTGACTGCCTGTGACGGCCTGTCACTGTGCAAGCCGCCAGCCCTACAGACCCCTAATCAAAGTGACAGCTCCAGGAGGCGTCCCAGAGAGGGAGCCTCCAAGTGCATGACTGGGTCGTCCCACCCCCACACCTCCAGCACCCTCCCGGCTGCCACAGGACTGAGACCTCAAGTGTCTCAGAACAAAGCAGAGTTTTAAGGGCTCCTCACACTTCTCCAGCCTCGTGAAAGGAGGTGTGGTTCCCTCCGTTTCCAAGGCTGGAGGCTGCCCCAGTCAGCCGCACCTTAAGGGTCTCTGCCCAGGACCACCACAGGCTGGGAGGGCCTTCAGCATGGCTGAGGCCCCTTACCCCCACCCCGCTGCCCCAGGGGCAGTTGCCAGCATCCTTGTGCTGGGGGCTGCTTCTCCCACCCCCAGCTCTCAGGGACCCAGGGAGACAGGAGATATCCATGGGAGGGGTGGGTGTTGAGGGGTCATGGCCTGGAGTAGGCTCAGAGACAACCAGGCCAATGGACAGCATGTTCTCTGGCCGGAGCCCCAGAATTCCAGGGTTCCCAGAAATCCGAGGACCCTTCATCCCCGCCCTAGGCACAACCACCACTCCACCATGCTCCCACAATGCAGCTTGCTCCTCTCAACGTGGCAGTTGTGAAAGTCTGGCCCCAGGCTGTCTTCCCTCTAGATGGTGAGTGCCCACAGGGCAGGCACTGAGCACACTCAGGGCTGAGTCCCGGCATCCCACAGGGGGCCAGCACAGGGCTGGAGGGCTAGGCAACGGACAGATCGAGGGACAACGGAGGGACAATGGCTTAATAGATCCCATTTAATAATCTGGAGAGGAGTACCTGGCATTGTGTCTCCTGGTGATCCCCCAAACCTACCCAGTACTTGGGGATGAGGACTGTGGGAAGAGGAAAGCCAGGTGAAGGGGTCCCCATCCCTCTGGGCAGCCTGGCTCTGGCCACGGGTATCTGGAGCTGTGGTCTTTCCTCCTCACACCCCATCTGCTCTCTCCACGTTGGCATCGGTGGGGGGCAGGGGAGGGAGTGCTTGGTCCATGGGGACCACTGCCTGGAAGGAGGGCCTGAAGATGCCGTGTTAGGGGGAGCACAGCGGGACAGTGTCCACGGGCCACAGGACTGGCCTTCCCCACCCAACACTGCTCTCCAGCTCTGCTCCCTCTCGGTGCCCCCCTTTCTGATAACGGAACTGCCCATCACAGCATCGCCTAAGCTAGAGTCATCCTTGGCACCTCCCTCACCATCCGTCCCCACATCCCATCAGTCACCAAGTCCTGCCAGTTCTGCTACAGAAAAGGCCCCAGAATCTGTTTCCTCCATCCTATCCCCTTCTTTCTCATGTACCCCCAAGTCTTACCCTTACCCCTTGCTGGAGACCTCTAAAACCCTAACTACTCTTGCTCAAAACCCTTCTCTGGGACAAGGCCGTACACCCAGCACTGTCCGCTGCCCCTGGAAAGCCCTGGCCTCAGGGCTCCGTGCATTTGCTCAAGCTGTCTCCCGGCCTGGGACTCCCTTTCCCTCGCCAAGATCCAACTTTAATTTCACTTCTCCAAAGCTTTCCCTGACTTCTGTCAGCTCACCTCTCCCTCTGACTTCTCGAAGCACCCCGTACCCACCTATATGAAGCCTGCTATTATCTTGGGAAAACTTGTCTGCACATGTAGTTATTTAGAAAGTTCTTTCCTGATGGCAGCTAGGCTGCCTTTTAAAAATACGAATTCCCAGACAGATGTTGATAGCTTCTTTTTTTGTTTGTTTGTTAAATTTTATTTATTTATTTATTTTCCCCCCAAAGCCCCAGTAGATAGTTGTATGTCATAGTTGCACACCCTTTTAGTTGCTGTATGTGGGACGCGGCCTCAGCATGGCCAGAGAAGCGGTGCATCAGTGCGCGCCCGGGATCTGAACCCGAGCCGCCAGCAGCGGAGCACACTCACTTAACCGCTAAGCCACGGGGCCGGCCCGATATGTTCTTACTTATATGCAGAATCTAAAAAAGCCGAAGTCATAGAAATAGAGAGTAGAAGAGTGGTTGCCAGGGGCTGGAGGGTGGGGGAAATGGGGAGATATCAGTCAAAGGGTACAAACTCCCAGCTATGAGATAAATAAGGTCTGGGGATCTAGTGTCCAGCATGGTGACTATAATGCACAATACTGTAGTATATACTTGAAAGTTGTTAGGAGAGTTATTAACAGATCTTAACTGTTCTTACCACACACATGCACAAAATCGTAATTACATGAGGAGATGGAGGTGTTAACTAACCTTATTGTGGTAATCATTTCCCAATATATACGTGTATCAAATCATCACATTGTACACCTTAAATTTACATATATGTCAATAATACTGCAATAAAGCTGGAAAAAAAATATGAATCCCCCAAACAGCAGCTTGCACATAGCAGGTTGTCTATAAGTATTTGATGAATTAATGAGTGATTTTTGAACTCAGACATACACACATTCCAGAAACATCCATACAGTCAGATACACTCTTACTCAGAGTCACACCCTTGGGTCCAGCCCCAGTGCTCAGGTAGAGGAGCTAGTACCAGCCATCAGAGCATTCCCTGCTTTGCTTATGCAGTGACCTCTGCCTGCAAAGTCCCTTCTCCCCTGACCCATGTCCCAAAGCTCAGTGCACCCCCGCTTCCTTCAAGAGGCCTTTTGTGGTGCCCCCGGGTATAACTGCCCTTTCTCTTTTGTACCCCTGGGGTTATGTCCCTCATGGCACCCACAACACTCATCTGTTCTTTTTGTGTCTGTCTCAGCCCAAAGATAGACTCAGTCTTGAGGGGCAGGGTGGTGAGTAGTAAGACTGGAACTTATTCGGCTCCAGGCCTCAGCACAGTGCCAGGAACACAGTGGGTGCCCCGCAAATAATCACCAAAATAACAGGCGGCCCTCAAAGGGGTGTCTGAGTTCAGAGTGTAGCCCTCTGGAAAAGCTACAACCAGGGCTGCAAGGCAGGTATCTGGTGGCCACCCCCAAGGACAAGGTGGAAGTTCCAGCCCTTCCCACCTCCCACGCTGGGGCTGGTTTTGAACTTGTTTCCCCTGCCAGCCAGCAGCCCGCCTCTCCTCACTTTTCCCATGGCCCCCACGTGCCTGTCAGCTGGAATCACCCTCACGAAGCATTCACCCATTTCCTCCAGAAATCGGCCCCTTCAGTGCTTGCAGCCAAAGCTCTGCCAAGTTACCCAGCCAGGGAGAGGCAGAAATCCTGGCTAGGAGTCAGCAGCCAAATGGCCCAGCAGGCCCTTCCCCCGACCGTCCCTCAGTCAGAGTGTCACAGTGTCATGTACCTTGCTGACCCTCGCCTTCAGAGACCAGAGAAGGAGCCTGGGATACCCCGCAGGTGAGACCCTCTCTGAAAGACTATCCCTGCCAGGGGGCTCCAGACTGGAGAAATGCTGCTTAGGGGTCCTGGTCCCAAAAGACCCCATAGGGAGAGCCCCCAGACCCAAAAAGACCTCAAGAGGAAGCCTCCGACCTAAAGACCCTCAGACCCTGAGAGACCCCATAGAAGGTTGTCCAGGTGCGTGTAATATACAACTTGACGGCATCTGGGGGACTTCAGACCCTAAGACCTCATTGAGGGCACCCCAGATCCAAAGACCCCACAGAGAGAGACCACAGACCCAGAGCCCCTCCCAGGGGCCCAGAACCAAGTCTGTGGGAGCAGCGCCCCTGCACACTGACCTGGCCCTGCGGGGGTCTTTCCCAGGCTGAGCTGCCGGAGCCGCCTCTGGTGGGCCCGCCCCCCACAGTGCACCTGGGCCTGGGCGGCCGAGTTCAGCTGGATGTTGCAGACGTCGCAGAGCGTGTACGATGGCCGTTTTCTTTCCCGTTTGGGCTTAGGCGGTTCTGGCGGCCGAGGGGGACACTCAGCAGCTCCAGGTATGGGGGGCTCCTTCTCACCCGGGGGAGATGGGCTCAGGGGCCGCTTCATACCTGAGCAGATAGAAGGAGACAGGAAGCAAAGGCCAAGTGTTGTGAACACATGGAAGGAGCAAGAGGGGTTCAAGACCCAGAGATGCCTGAGCCCCATGTCCCAGCCAAAACTCCCCGGCTTTCTGAGAGCCCCAACCCAAGGATGGCAGATGGGAGCAAAATGGGGTCAATTTCAAACAAAGCAGCATTAAAATGCAGCGGTATCTGGAAGAGTGTCAGAAATGTCTACACACTGGGCCACAGAGCAAATCACTCAGGGAGGGAGACTCGGGTCCTGGAGCCCAGGTAGGCACAGAGGGAGAAGCAGCAGCGAGGTTGGTGGAGTCACATTTCGGGAAGCCAGAGCCCTGTTCTCAGCCCCGCGGCAGGCGCTGACAATCCTATGACAGGCAGGCCTGTGGCACTTGCTGGAGACACGGCAGCTGCTGGCCAGAGGGCTGATGGCAGAAAGTAACCTCCCCGTGTCCAGCACCCAGCTGGGTGACATTCACAAAGGGTGACAGTGTGTGAAGGCATCCCCACCCCTGCCCCACGTCCATTCCTGCCCCACGTGGCTCCAGATGCCCCCCTGCTGTCTTGGCCACCTAGGCGGTGGCAACAGTAGTGTTTTTAGTAGAGACCTGGACCACACACGCACGCGCGTGCGCGCGCACACGCACACACACACACACACACACACACACACACAGGGCCCCACAGAGCACACACATCACCCCTCCAGCCGCTCATCTTCCACAGTCTTTCCTTTCAAACTCACTTCTCTGAAACTTTCCCGCCTGACTCTGCCTCTAACCAGCTCTACTCTGGGGCAGCCCAACGACCTTTCTCAGACTGAACTGTTAATTTTCACTTCCTTCTTGAATCTATGTGCAGGCTTCCTGCCTCTGCTTCAGACTGGGGACTTCCTGAGGGCAGGGCCTGTGTCCCCCTCACCGGGGCAGAGAATTCCTGACTTGTGTCTCTCCCTCAGACTGGGGGACCCCCAAGGCTAGGGCCTGAGGGAGGCGTGACTGAGCCCATCGCTCTTGTTATGGGCTGAATTGTGTTCCCTCAACATTCATATGTTGTAGTCCTAACTCCCAGTACCTCAGAATGTGAGTATTTGGAGAGAGTGTCTTTAAAGAGGTAATTAAGTTAAGACGAGGTCATGAGGGTGGGCCCTAATCCAGTATGACTGGTGTCAGAAGAAGAGGAAATTTGGACACAGACAGTTACAGAGGGAAGACCATGTGGAGACACAGGGAGAAGCCAAGCCAAGGAGAGAGGCCTCAGAAGAAAGCAGTCCAGCTGACACCTTGATCTCGGACTTCTAGCCTCCAGAATCGTGAGAAAACAAATTTCTGGTGTTCAAGGCCCTCAGTCTCTGGTACTTTGTTATGGCAGCCTGAACCGACTGAGACATCCCCCGAAAGGGCATTTCCTGTGTCTTTAGGCTCATGCTCATTTTGCAAATTAGACCAAGTCAAGTCAAATGATGTCATCATATTCTCATAAGGCCACACATCCAGGGGTAGAGCCCACATCTGAAGAGAGAAAATGAATTTCTCAAGTCCACAGCCAAGAACCCTCCCTGCCCACAGTCCCTGGACCCAGCCCCTGCTCTCAGTCAGCTGCTTGTCATTGTTGTGGGCAGTGGGCCCACACAAGGGTCTGTCATTACATGTGTGGGGACTGTGTGTGAATGGAACAGAGGGGCACAGTGGTTAAGAGTACGAACTCTATATTGACTCACACCTGGTTTCCAATCCCAGCTCCGCCACTTACTGGCTGTGTGACTGGAGCCTCAGTGCCCTCATCTTTATATCTGTAAAATGGGGTGATAAGTAACAGTTCCTAAATCACAAGCACATTGGGAGGATTAGATGAGCTGATCCATGTAAAACACTTCTCAGTGTCCTATAAAAGTTAGCTATTATTAATCCACGGTGTGTCTGTGTTTTGCATCTTTGAGTAGAGTCACCTTGTCTGTCACCCTGCGTCTGTCATGTGTACCTGGGTCACTGTGAATGTCTCTGTTACCCCATCCTTTGTTGAGATGAATCTGTGTCATTCACTCCATGTGCGTGTCACAGTGTAGCTTGTCATGGTGTGGGAGTCATTGTGCCCATATCATGTAATGAGACTCACTGAGCATCTGACACTCGACGTGTGTTATGGGTTGAATTGTGTCCCCCCAAAATTCATATGAAATCCTAACCCCCAGCACTTCAGAATATGAAACGCGACCTTATTTGGAAATAGCATCAGTGCAGATGTTAGGTTAAGATGAGGCCATACTGGAGTAGGGTGGGCCCCTAATCCAAAATGACTGTGTTCTTATAAAAGGGGGAAATTTGGACACAATCATGCACACGGGGAGAACGCCATGTGAAGATGAAGGCAGTGATCACGGTGATGCTTCTACAGGCCAAAGATTGCCAGCAAACAGAAGTTGGGGGAGAGGCATGGAATAGACTTCCTCACAGCCCTCAGGACTCAACCCTGATGACACCTTGATCTTGGACTTCTAGCCTCCAGAACTGTGAGACAATAAATTTCTGTTGTTTAGCCTGCCTGGTTTGTATTAGTTAGTTATGGCATCCCTAAAAAACTAAAACATCGTGGGTCAGACCCTTGTGCCCCAAGAGGTGCCTGGCGATTTGAGGGCACCATCACTCTGCAGGGTGGTGTGACTGGGCTGCAGCACCATAGATAACCTCCAGGTGGCGCAGCGAGCATCTTAGCGGGACGTTAAGAGGTGGAACTCGGTACGGGACCTGGCAGGACCCACCCCACTCCTCCACACTCTGGGGCAACTAGGCTACCCCTGTGAGCCATGCCAAGCTCCTGGGCACCATGTCTGGGGTCCAGGGCACAGCTCTGCCCACAGAAGGCACACTGGAAGGTCACTCCACCACCTGTGAGAAGGCCCTCCCAATGGGCACGGAGCCTCTCACCAACATTCTGCACTCTCTCACCTCTAGATGGAGGTCATCAGAGCTATCCTCCTACCCTTATAAGTCTTCCCCCACTCTCCCAGCAGGAAGCAGGGGCAGGTAGAAAGTACCATAGAAGGGGCAAGTAGAAAGTGTTAGAGGGGGTTTTAACTGGCCAGGGGGAAGAGGCTTCAGGAGCATGAAATTTTCCTGGCCTTGCCAAGGAGAGCTGCCTGCCCCACAAGCAAGCGGACAGGGGTATTTTGAAATCTCGGTACAATTTATGACAGGCAGGCTGAGGACATGGCCCAAGAAAGCAAATATCTGCCACAGGGCTGATTAAACCTCCGTGATATACAGCCTCTGGACTCACAGGGCCCGCCTGGATTCCGGGGCTAATTGTGTCCCCCAAGCCAGGCCGCTGGGCCTGTCGCAGCCTGTCCCACCTGTCCCAGCCTTCCCAGCTGTCCCCGCAGGAGCTACACCACTCCAGCTAAGCTACGGCTCCCAGCCAGGAAATTGGGAGGAGTGGGCCATTTTTAGGGCACACACAGGTTGATCTAACCCCTGCCATGAGCATCAGCGGGTCAGCACCCCCTGCGCTGGGTTCTAGTCAGAACCAGCATGACTCATCCTAGCTGGACCTATACTTAGAAAGGACCTGGTCCACACGTTCTCTTTAACAGCAGAGGAAATTGAGTCCCAGAGCAGGGGAGTGGACTTGCTTCAAAGTACATGGAAAGACAGTGCAAGTGCTGCTTCTAGAAGTTTCCCTGCCTCCCTCTCTACCACCCAGCTCCCCAGGCCACCTCTTCTTTATAATTACAACCCCATTTATTGAGAGCTTACTGTGTGCCAGGTTCCTCACAGATAGGCTCTCTTTTCAGCTTCCCGACAAGCCCATGAGGTGGGCACTATTATTAACCTATTATCCCACTTCACAGATTAGAGAACAGGCTTTGAGAGGATGATGGCCAGACCTGAACCTACACTTGTCTGACTCCAGAGCCCAAGTCCTTAACCACTGCCCTACTTCACCTCTCCTTAGAGCCTGCCAAGCCCTCGTTTGAACTGCCAAGTGGCGAAGGGTTGCAGATTCAGAGAAGGGCTCTGGGGAGGCTCAGTGCCCAGCCCCAACAGACCTGGGTGCCAGGCCAGGAGGTGCCACACCTGAGCTGGAAGAGTGGGGGCCAGAGCCAGAGAAGCCAGGAGGAAGGGGTGTGAAGAAATGAGGAGAACTGAACTGAACTTGGGACGGGAAAGGTAAAAGCAGAGAAAAGAGCATGCATGTACCCAGGTGTCTGTCTGTCTGTGATTTACACAGGAAGGGGGGTAAAGCACCCTCTGTTTTCACCTTCCCTGAAAGATGGGCTGAGGCTGCAGCAGGGGTGGGAGGGGCGCTTGGACCATGGGAGGGAGCCACCCACTTGAAGGCAGGCATGCAGCAGAGCTGGAGAGCTGATGGAGGGCAAGATTGCTGTCTGCCTGTCTGTCTGTGTGTCCATCCATATGGAGCTGGAGGGGGTGGGGAGTACTCAGGCAGGGCCCCAGTGACGAATGAACTTCAAGGTCCCAGGTTTCAGCGGGGTCCTCGGGCACTGCAGTACGGTGGAATTCTCTGCCTGCCTATCCACAGATGGAAAGGGACTTTGGAGGCCATAAAGTACAGAGCAGAGAGTTGTTTCAGCTGCAACCTGGGGAAGGGTGTCCTCAGGGAAAGAGCTGCTTTTGCCAAAGGGTTAACAGAAGAGGAGGGTTCTAGGCCTCTCCCCAGCCTTTGGCAGGGCATGAAGGGCTCCCTCATCAAACCTTTAATGAGCCCAATTACACTCTGGTATTTTCCCCCATGTCTGCCAACATCTACCCTCCCACCACGCCGAGCTCGGTCCCAGGCCCTGCCTCTGAGAAGGGAGCCTGGCAGGCTGGCCAACCTTGGGCCAGTCCCTGCCCCTCTGGGCTTCAGTTTCCTGTCTTTAAAGAGGGGGGTTGGGCTGGGCTAATCTCTTAGGCCCTTTTCGGGCAACACAGAGCAGCTGCCTCTAAGGTGGGGGTGGGGGGAGGCCAAGTTGTAGTTGTCTCTTTCTG